GCCTCTGAGACAGCTTACCCTCCCGAGTTGTGTGCAGCCGCGGCGCGCGAGATTTCGCTTGTTCTTCAGGCCAAGGGCATTTCTGCTGGGCACAAATCCACTGACCTCTCCCGAGCTCATCCCCGATCACCCGCCGCCATGGCTGCAACAGGTGCCACCTGGGTCAAAGTTGCTGTGGACTCGCGTCTTTCTTGATGGGGGGAATGAGGTGCGCGAGTCGGAATATGGGGTTTATCATAGCCCTCAAGAGTTCTTGCGTGAGGCACTTAAGGTGACGCACCCCTTCGACAGTGCCGTGGCCATTGATGGGCCCAACCTCAGGGCCATCGCTTATGTTCTTGAACATGGTGTTAAGGGAGTTGAGCAGAAGCGCCGGGCGGTGCTTGAACATTACAAAGCCCTGGAACGTTCCCTTCACGACGAGGAGCAGCGGCTGAAGCAGGGGATGGTCCTACAGTTCGCCAGGTGATGGGGTCAAAGAAACTCCTCTTGTTCAGGCAAATGCTTATCGATGCGGGGGTCCCTGACGAGAACCTTTTCAATGATATGGTCAACGGGTTTCGCTTGACGGGTACCTTGGAGCCTTCCGGGTTGTTTCCTCCCAAGTTTAAGCCTGCGGTGATTTCGGTTGCTGAGCTTAAGCGTTCTGCTGCATGGTCTAAGCATCTCATTGAGGGTGCGTGTCGCAAGGCCTCAAGGGATCCGGACGTCGCTCGAGCAGTGTGGAAGGAATCCTTAGAACAGGTGGGAAAGGGATGGCTGTCAGGGCCATTCACTTGGGATCAGATGGACGAGAAGTACGGTGGCGCTTGGGTCGCTTCAAAGCGTTTTGGCGTAACACAGGGGGACAAAGTTCGTGCAGTGGATGACCTGTCCCAGTTTCAGGTGAATGCATCGGTCACGGAGACGGAGAAGATCCAACTTGAGGGTCTGGACGACATTGTCGCTTTAGCTCGCTTCATGCTTGGTGCCACTGTCAGTGGCACAAAGACCTTTAGGTT